TCAGTGTTACGGTAACTGTGGTGTTTTGTACAGAGAGGTGCTGTTCAAGTGTTGTATTTGTCTGTATACTTTTAAAAGATCAGTGCAAGATTATAGTATGTTTCAAACCAGCCGTAAAAAATATAGTTTCCTTATTCTCCGCTGGTTATAAAGAAGCAAACTGATCAACGAGTAATTCTTGTTGAGGGTACAGATTATAAGACAAATATTTCAGTAATTATTTTAATTGCCATTGTTAAAATGCTAGCGTAAATCTCACCCTACGTCATTTTGGATTGATCCGTTATATTCATCAGAAAGTGTTCATGTCATATAATATTTAATGGATAATTTGAGTATTTAAGTATCTCAAAATCATAAACATGGATATGGAGTTTGCTATAATGAGAACTAAGAAAGAGATTGTAATGTAGTTTCAGCAAGTGTTTTTAATGGGTTTTTTCCAGACATATTTTTTTTAATGTAAATGTACACAATCGTCAAATTTTTTATGTATAATTATTTTTACACGTTTCTCTTATAACTAAAATTGCACTCTCACTATCATACGGTACATTGCATTTATCAAGAAAGTGGCTTTGTTGCCGTTACTCAGTGGTGCATTCAGCATTAAGCTGCATTCTTGTCGTGATGGTGGACCTGTCGCGGTGCTGCCCTCTATTGTCTTAATTCAGCACAACACTCAGTAGACCTGACTCTTAGAGTGTTTTTTTACAGGAATGGAGACTAAATGGTTAAAAGAAATACTTTTGTGGAGAACTCCGTTGCTTTAAGCTTCCTGGATTCCTGAACCTGAAATAAAGCCCAACTCGAGTGCATATTATGTCGTCTGGGGATTCTTTAAGTGCTCGTACCCATGACTTTTTTCTAGTCCAGGTGGGCTTGTCGTGCCTTTTTTTTTTTGTTGGAAGGCACTCAAATTATATCGTGGACTCCTCTCAGTTTGTCTCTTGGCTCTTCCTCTTAGTCCAGTCACAATCAGAACCGAGACCAGGTCGTCCCCTCTTGCTCGGTGCATGTTTGAATGCCTCCCATTCGCAGATAGCATGCGCCCTCTTTGGTCTTGCTCCTTAATCACCAGCAAGTCACCTGAATGCTCCCTATCAGTGTAACCCTGCCATTGTGTGCCTGTCAGGGGAGGGTGGTGCGTGGCTACGTTGTGCGACTCTGATTACAGGATGCATGGCCGTGTGCTGCCCCAAGCAGGAGAGCTGTTTTCTTATGGGAGCAGGTGCTATTTAAGGAGGTGGCTGTGCTCTGCTGGCTCCTCGCTCCATCCATGTCCCTACTTTAATCTTTACTGCACGGGTCGTCTCGGCATCGCAAGGAGGAGGAGGAGGAGGAGAAGGAGAGGGAGGGAGGGGGCATGTTTGCGGGAGGGTACGCCAGTGGCTCCCGGGGGGCTCCCAGTAGGCGCAAGTCCAGTTACTGTCCTCCTGAAAACCTGCAGATCCCCAAACCGGCAGCGCCAAGCAGCGGTGTTCGAAAGAGCAGCAGCAGTGGCAGCAGCAAGATGCTGTCTATGACATACAGCGAGAGCATCCGGAGCGGGATCAACCGCTACCACTCGGACCAGGGGCTGAATCTGCCACCGGCCAAGCCCCCCGACCCGGCCGAGCTCCAGAAACTCCGGGAACAGAGGGTCGCCGCTCAGATTAAGAACATGGAAGACTTCCTAAAGATGAATGGCCTGGCGATGGAAGAGTGTGTGTCCTATCAGACAGGCATGAAGTACAGGTAAGAGAGGGGCAGAGCTCAACAGGGACTTTGATACCCCAGAGACCTGGACAGTGGTGGGGCTGACAACCAGCAGGTGAGAGCAGCGTTGTGGTCCAGGGAGGTCAGATAGGTCAGATCGTGTTTTTGTTGATGTCGGCCTCAACATTCACTATTTTGCACCATTGCTGTTGATTTGATTTAAATCATTTCTGCCATCGGAAGCATGCGCAGTCAGGGACGTGTTACCTGTCTCTTAATATCAGTACAGTCTTGCTCTGTCCTCTGGTCAGATTGCACTCATGCAAAGATACTGAAGCTCAGCTTTTATTTTAATCATCTAGGTCGGTGGCATATTTACCCAACTACATGGGAAGGACAGACTGCTCCTTAAGGAGTTACCTGGCCCCTTAAAATCTCTCTCAGACCCCTTGATCTCAAAGTGATTACGGTACAGAGAATTCTGCCCACACAATGACAAACAGAACAACTGGGAAACATCAATACCTGTCTATAATAATATTAGATTAGATATTGTGTATGATATTGGCTGTCATAATATTGTAATATAAGTTATTGGCTTGGTCTCGACTGTAGTGTTTTCTGATCATATTTGAATTCTGTGATCGAAGGGCTGATCAACACCGCATGCCTTCTTGGCAAGTGAGTGCAGTGCAAGTGTATTTCCAAATTTGTTGATTTCTAATTTTTCAGATAAACTAAAGGATGAAGTATTGTTTAATTGGTTGAGAAGATTCAGCCAATTCTTTAATGTAAATGTACATTTACGTTCCCATTCTTTTATCTGAAAATGTATTGTCACAAAAAAGTCTGTTTTTCTTGGCTTATAGAAAGTTTATATTTTTTGGAGATACACAATCATACGCAAAATATTATCATTGATGCCGTATCACGGCAGAGTGTCAAAAATATTAATTTGAGTTTGTAAAGTACGCCAAACTTTAGTTAAAAAGTCCAAGATTTAAGTTTACTTTATATGTATATATTTTATACCTCCAAAGATCACTTATAGATTCACTAACAAGTATAAAATGCACCCTCAAGGCAGAACAAAAGATGCAATTTGAACCATTTGCTCACTTTGTCTGTTTCCTCTACACAATGACGGCGAACCAAACAGCCCATTTTATGGACTGTTGCTGTTGAAAGGATTAAGTCCGTGCAGCGGGCTGAGCGGCTGTCGTGCTGGCTAATACAGCCTGATAAGCTGATGTTGTCATGGACATGGACATGGATAGCTTTCCTCACACACAGGCATGGCTGCTGTTGTTTTTCACCGAGACCAGTGACTAGAACCCAGGTGTGGTTGGCTGCTGTCACCACGTCTGGGATGAACGAGTTTTACTATCGTCTGCAGGCAGTGTTGTGTGTCAGCACCGCGCTGGCGTGTTTCCTCGGCCCTGTTGTGTAAAGCTCAGTCACTGGCCCATCGGTGGGTGCAGCTTTGTAGAAAATTTGTTTTAATATTGCAAAAAGCATGTGTGGTTCTTTATTTACAAACCTCAGAGAGCCTACTACAGTAACCTTCAAAATGACATATCAGTAACACACAGCTGTTGTTTGATCAACCTTTTTCTGTTAATGGATCTTGTAACAAGTCTAATAGTGATTTATGTTATTCCTTTGTGGTGTTGTGTTTAACCGTTGGTCTCGGTTTACCACAGGAGTGCGACGTCCTGCCAGGATCTGCTGTTACTTGTATCGTGAGCGCTTGCAATTCTGTAATTGGTTCTGCAATCGGGTCAAGTACTTGCGGCCTCTGACTCAAACTCATCATTATTTCAGCTGTGTGGTCAGGAAGGCCGGCCGGCATTGCTACCAAGCTGCATTTAACCATCGTTAACACCGCCAACACATTTTCCAACAAACACAAGCAAAAGGGTTATGTTAGGGTTACTCTCTCTCTCTCTCTTCTTTTGAACTCTCCAGGTTGCTCACTACTCTGCATGTACATGCACACCTTCTTTTTCTTGTTTGGCCGACCTTTCAAAATGGGAGATATTTTTTACACCACTACATGTAGAAAAGCATGAAATTCCTTTTTCCTGCTCTAGATGGAGTATAATCAAGATTACTTCAAAAATATATGATTAATAGTGTTGTATCTGATACTCATTTACTAGATAGTGTGAGTACTAGCTGTCTTGCATATATTCCTTATCATGTGGTTTCAAGGTTATAAATATTGTGTAATTCAAATTAAGGAAAATTAAGACTCTATTTCTGATATTCTGTCCTTGAAACTAAATACTCTCACTCAGCAGGCCCATTTGGAAAACAGTCCGTAGTGTTCATGTCGTCCCATGAACGAGGCAGGCAGCGGGTAAAGGAGCCAGCTTGAGTTCAGTGAGGCGAGACAGGACTGTGTCTCCTATTTGAGCTGTATGGAGGTAGACCTGAGAAGTATTGATTCCTGGAGTGACTTAACACTAATGGACATGCTAATGACCTCCATTTAGAAGTTCAGACATACAAAGCTTTGTCTGACCACAACTGTTCCTCAATGTACAGCACGCCTACATTATATCTTGGATCCTTTGGAGAAGAAAAAAGTTTTTCACCTGTATGTAATGAAATGCACCTAAACGTTTAAATGACTATTTTGATGCTATTGGTTCGGCAGCTCATTGCTGCTTTCTTTTAGTAGTTTTATTGAAGAAGAATTAGTCAAGGTTTGGCCGCTAGGGGGCAGAGAAACAAGCAGACACAAGTACAGTCAGCACCTCATTACAGGCTCAATGACAGGTTATTTATATATGCAGCAAACATGGAGGAACGTTAGCACCTGATGAATCTCTCGTATTCTGAGAAAAATGTTTTTAACTGTGAGATGCTCAATTATGTCCAGCAACCTCTTTGTCTGTCTGTCTTTTGGTGTTGGTCAGGTAGTGCACAGTGGGTTTACCAGAGTGTTCTGTGCTCCGGATGATTAGACCAGCTGAGACTCAGCACACAGTTATAATACAGTCATTTGATTTATTGTTATTTTGGAAAAAAAAAGATGGTTAGGTCTGTAACTAATTGTTATTTTCATTATCGATCGTTCAGTCTAATAAATCAGAGCCGGAGGAGATGTATTTTAATGTTTTGTTTTGCCGAATAACGGTCTGAATCCAAAATATATACATTTTCAATGAGATAGAATTTAGAGAAGCAGCAAATCGTTTCAGATCTAATGCAAGTTTAAGCAAACATGGACAGAAATAGAAATACTTTAAAATATATATTGGTCTCCAGTTTTTCCTCAACAATAGAAATACAAACTAAACACATAGTTGAGAGCATGTCCGTTAAAGAGCTGATGAACATATTTACAACTTTCAGAATGTTCTGTATATTACACCCACTGAGTCGGGTGACAATAAGTGAGCTGTTCTCCACTAGATGGTGGCAATGCTTCACTTTAACACTTCATACACTTTCAAATGCCTCCCACTCACCTCCATAATGCATTTACTGAGCACAGCGAGTGCATCACTCACACACTACTGAACATGCTGGACAACTAGTTTTGATATTTATCAGTTTAGCCAGGTGTTGAAACATGGAGGAATGTTTATTGCCTTTGCTTCAAGTAGCCCTGGGCAATATATCGATATTATGTCAATATCGTGTTATGAGACTAGATGGAGTCTTAGATTTTCAATATCGTAATATGGCATAGATCGTAAGTGTCTTTTTCCAGGTTTATGTCCATAAACCTGGAAAAAAAGGTTGTTGATAAGGTTGTTTTATCAAAACAGTCTTATTGTGAAAGCATCAATAGTCCCTATATCATCATGGCAATGTAGATATTGAGGTATTTGGTCAAAGATATCGTGATTTAAATTCCTCCACATCTCCCAGCCCTACTTTAAAGCATCATTCTCATACATTTTATTTTTGTGTCTGTATCTTTCATACTCTAACACACACACACACACACACACATACACACACACAAACCTTTTGGTGCGGACATAAATCTTCACTGAGCCACTCTAAACTGTAAACAATTTTTTCTTAGTCTCAGCAGCACGGCAGCATGTGTGTCAGACTGTGACGTTTTTCTTCAGGCGATCCCCGACTCCAGAGCTAAATTTAGCAACAGACTTGTGTCCACAGCTGCCACTGGATACAGCTGAACGGGATGCAGCCTAACCTGTTAATCCACTACTCTACCTCAAGCCCACTGCCTCGGAGTCTTGCTACAATGATGAAAGCCGCTGTATCGTGTGTTTTGTGCTTCATCTTTGTCACGATGTTTAGGTATTAGATAAAGATTTGGTGACCTCTCCGGTTCCTCTTTGAGCTATCTGTGTCTGGCCGAGTCTGACAGCCTGTCAAAGTGTTCTAGTCAGAAATGTTGCGTGGGCACAAGAGGTGGGAGTGCCAGGGATTACACAATTCTATTTCGTCTTGGTGTTTGTTGTATTTCAATTTAAGTCTCTTTATACATGGCAGCTCAACAAGATGTCTTCATGATCACAGTTTAAGGGTTAGTACATTGTGTTTATATTCCACGTGTATAGTTTTAACTTGAATAATGCATCAAGAGGATTGTAACTTTAAATAATGATAAAGGTCATTGTCATCATTGGTTATTTACGAAGTTGTAACATCTGATTCATAAGGCTTTATATGTGGTTTGTATAACATCATAGTTTTAAGAAGCACAGCCATGGACGTCACAGAGGGCGTAGCTTTGCCACACAAGTAGTCGCTGTTGTTCAAATAGATGGTAAGAGCACCTTTTATAGCACCTTCAGCACACTACTGAACGTAGATGTGTTGTTTTCAATAAAGCCTGCCATGTCAACATCTATGTTAACATTGCCTTGGCTACTAGTTATAGTTAAAAGTGTGGGTGCAAGATTAGTGACAGACAAGGGGCATTATGGCGGGAAATTTAAAATTTAATTAACGCCTGAAAGTGTCATTTCCTGCAATATAGAGCCTTTAATCAAGACCAATAAAGCTGCTCTTTCACTATAAAGCACAGTTTATATTGCACAATATGTTAGTGTGTGTCACAGGATTTTGTGTGACTTGGAGCAGTCGTGCAGCGGGCCCCGCCCCTCTTTGCAGTGAGACGGCGTGCACTAGGTCTACGGGATGTAAAAAAAAAAAAAAAAAAAGTGTGGATACAACAAAAATAAACACATATTTGCTCCCCCAAGTCTCCACATGTACTTTCATGCCTGTCCGCATTAACCGTGTGTTTTTCTCCATGTCTGAAGGAGTGTGTGTCTCTGTGAGTGTGTGTGTCACTGGAGGCTGCAGGGAGGCTGCTCTGTACTTTATGAATACCCAGTAGTGACGGGCGGTAGGAGGCGTCCCTCACCCCTTTAGACACTCGGGCTCTAGAGTTGTGCTGTTGTCGCTTTGGAAGTTTCGTACTAAACAACGTTCAGTACACATTTCCTAAACTGTTGAGAACCATCCCTGAATAAAATGTGATGTTGTGTTTGTTTTCCTCGGGCGATGTCTATTGCTTTCGTTCTCTCTTGAACGTCTCATTTGAATTCAACAAATTGAATTTGTTGGGAATCCTGCCATGATTTATTTTTGTATGTCTCTTATGACATTTCCATTGCAAATTACAATACAGTCTTTAGGCAACAGAAATTGTGATGGATATACGTAAGTCAATGCGGTAAGAGTCGTTTCTTAAAAGGTCAAGTCTGAGGCAAAGAGGGAAAGTCCACCGAAGCTTTTAGATTATTTCTGTGATTTTTTTGGTCACTCTGGCAAATTTAATGCACAGGGACATTTTATATGTCACGGTTGACTGATTCATCAGAAAGTCAGCAAAACCAGGTCCTGAGTTCGGGTTGCAGGTATATATTTTGACTGAATTTCTCTTTGATGGAACCTACTTCATATTTCCTTTCATTGCTTTGTTGTGTATTTGACAGGAAACTCTCTCTCTCTTCCCCCCACATTGCTCATGGCACCTTAGTTTTGCTCTGTGTATTCTCCTGTGGTCCCCATTTAGTGTTATCATTGAGAATACACTATATCCACTCAGGCTGAAACCACTTCTTCAAAAGTTTTGACCTACTGTATTATTGTACAAACATACTTACACTTTTCTTCTGTAGTTATCTGTCTCTCAATGTCCTTCTTGGGTTCTGCTGGTACTGCCTAGCATTTGTGTGTATTGTGAACTACTCTGCCTGGTGTTTCCTTTCAGAAAGCTCCTTTTGTCTTTTCCTTGTAAGGCGTGATAGTGTTGGTGTAGGCCGAGACCTCAGGCAGGACCACCAGACAAAAGGTTTGAGCTGGTCTGACCTCTCAACATGTCAAGGATATACAAACAGCAGTCTGACCACATTATAGACCCGCTGCCTTGTTTCTATATTTATACTGCTGGAGGCCATTCAGGGTGACGGCATCAGTAGCTGAGAAATAAATAGGAGCCATCTGTTTCATAAGCATAACTTGTGTGACAGGACCATCAAACGGCATCAGCTAGAAAGCGATGGGTCACACACTGTAATAGATCTGTGTTGGCCGTCACAGCTGTGAACGGTCAAGGGCATCACAATACCTGCAGGTTCTCATAAAAGTGTTCTTTCTTGCAGAATGCAAATATTCACTTTATCACGTTAGCATTATTAAACAGAACAAATACAGACAAACCAGTTATTTTATGACAATTGAGAGTATCTCAAATATGAATGAATACACGTTGATATTTAGAATAGCTGACTTCATTCTACTTCTGGCTGATTGGAGATGCTCAGTGTTGTCTGTCAATGTGATCCGGAATACCTGTTTAAATAACACAACCAGCTACATCCTCCACTAGATGTTTCTATCATATAAATGATGCTTCTTCTTTTATGAAACAATGTCTTGCCAATTTAAGTCAATCATTTGAATTATCTACTAAAGTTAGCAGTTGTTGACAGTTGGTGTTATTTAAATATGATTAAATGGCAAATTTCTGAAGTCTGACATCTATTTTTTTATTTTTTTTTTTATTTTTTTTTTTTTCCCATCAGCACCTTTTTTGGTCTGTATGACAATGGCAAACAACATGAAATATAATGATTGAAAGGCTAAACTATATTTTGGCACCTAAAATGTCCCAAAAGTTGTACTAATGGGTGTATATTGACTGCTATTTGATGGATGGCTACATCTGGCTCTGAAGAGGGTTCATTGAGATAGTTGGTAAGAAAAGGTGAGGTATCCTCTCCTCCACCGACATGATCAGTGCCTCTGGCTTCTCGTTGCTAAAATTCTACGCCTGTCCATCATGGCGAGCTAGCTAGCCAGTGAGTGTCGTGGATGTTGCGGTACAAAGATACAGGCATGACATGATGGTACAAGTGCCCATTTAAAGATGGGTTAGGGTATTTTTCTGTAATGAGGACCCCAGGTCCCTTCATCAGGAGTTGAACTCAAATTTCTCCAAACGATCTGGACTTAGGATGCCAAGAGGACAAGCAGCCGCATCTTCCCGCTGAAATGCGTGCAATATAAAGCATTTCTGCCGAGCAACGCTCCTCTGTGTGAACCTTTGGTATGACAAATGCACACAGGCAGGCTGGAGGATCTTCCGATGAACAGGACAGATCACTGTGCTTCCTCCAGATTAGTGAGCACGCTCCCTCGGACTGTGTGACTCAGCCCCGTTTGGTTTAAGCACATCTGAATTCCCTACATTGCCGTGGGCTCCCTGCTGTTTTGTAGTGGTCAACATATTTTCTGTGTTTTTACTCTGTTGCATACTGTATCAGAAATATGTTGTCTTTCTTGGATCAATATCTGGCTATAGCAACTCATTGAAAATACAACAATTTACAAATATGTTGTCCTTATTCTCCCCATATTTTTAATGACATATAATCTCTGAGAACAGCTAAAGCCAAAAGTCATCGTAATGACTTTATTATGATGACAGGGGTTCCCTCTCTTCTGTTGTTTTGTATGATCGTGTCGGCTCTCTCGCTCCGTTAGATCTGTCAATGGGAACACCTGAAACGACAACTCCTTCTGAGCCCTGCTGTCTGCGGGGAATCTGTCATGTTCACTGGAGAATTAAAAATTGCTGCACACAGCTGTGACCGGCTTCTCTCTGCACTGTTCTCTAAGGAAATCCCAGAAAAACTAAGATATTTAGCTTCAACAAAATGAAAAGTACAGAAAAATTACACAAAAGATTGATACTAAGATAACCTAATATAGAATACTATTCTCATATATTTTTCTGCATCAGTTAATTACATTGTCATTGCAGCGATGAAAGGGTCAACCATTAGCAATGTTCTGACCCAGCCTCAGGAGGCTTTAAGCTGCTAGAAAAGCATGACAGCATCTGTCAATCACCACTGTCAATTTGTCTGACCGCACATCACTTTCCATTACCTCTCTTAAGCCCTTTCTCACACACACACACACACACTACTCTGCTTCACCACTCCTATCTCAGGGATGCTATCCTGTACACTTTGTTACTCAAACCCTCACTAATGTTGTTGAATTAAACCCTGAGTAAGTGGAACTTTAACCTCCATTAGACAGCTGGCCAACACTTACACATACAACTGTGGTCATCCTCAGCTTGGTGAACGGTGCTCTAACAATCACTGCCTGATGTCACAAACTGCATTTTCCTGGCCTGGTGCCTGTGGACACGCTTTCTTAAGTTAACGTTATGAGATGTACAGAGAAGAAGGCACAGCTAGAAGGAGATGAAGCCGTTGAGAATAGGTTATTCTGTTTAGCTTGAAGGAGTCTTTACCTTGAGATGTAATTTCCCTTTTTAATTGTAGAGGATCTCTGCAGTAATACAGAAAGCCAGTGCTTGCCCAACTAGCTGGGACAGTTCAGGCCTAGCGCCCTGCAGCAACTCTGGATGCCAGTTCATGTGCCAATCTCAAATCGCTGGAGGTACCCAGACTGCCCCTGAGACCAAATTAGTGAACGACCGCATGAGACACTCGCGAATATCAAATTTGGGAGTCCTTTTCCCCTTTCAGTGGCTAAGGGCGTTCTTTGTGTATTGTCTAGTCTCACTGTGTAGAATTGATTCAGCGAGCAAATGACTATTTTTAGAGCTAATGCTGCGGTGAAGGATCTCTACTCATGACGGTGGACCACTGTACCTCCGTGGTCCGTTTCTAATTTTCTGTCGATGAAAACACAGCAGTAGTCTTTCCCTCTCTGGCACTGATGTTGCTCAGCTGCAGTATGTGGGCTGTAAGCTGAGAGAAGTCAGCTGTCCAAGCAAAACCTCCCGTACAGCCGGGGCGGACTACCGGCGCTTCATTATGCTATGATCTCCAATCCTTCCTCTCGATCAGGGCTGAAAGGATTATCAGAACAAAACCAATCATTTTAAGTGTGCGTGTTTCTGCAGCTTTCCTTTCTTGTATTCTTTTGTTTTCCTTCTCCGGCCTCACTAAAAAAAAGCTGTTGTTGGTGAATTTTACTCTGCTGTAGTCATGATCGCATAAACGCACACGTTAAGCTGTATTCTCTCCTCTTCCTCCCCCGCACACTGAATGAAGCACTGGGCCAGGCCCTATCAGTGCCCTGCATTCACACACACTCATTGAGTGTCTGAGAGGGGTTTTAGCAGCTCACTAGATTTTGGGATAACCACTAAATCGGGCACTTAATCAAGGCAAGGAGACGAAGGCCACGACTCGAGGGAGGACATTGTGATAATATGTGGAGTGGGAGGAGATGGATTTCTTTTCTTTACGCTGAGATTTGCACAGCAGGGCTGTCTAACAACCAGCTGAGTCCAGCGCTAACAATGGTAACTGATGGGATTTGTTTCTCAGGTATTGTTCAATTGCGTCCCTTTGCATTGATGCATAAATTACTTTTTATCGTAAAAGAACAGTCGTGCATTGGGCTGAGTGCCCTTACTTTGCGCACCATGAACACAATGTCGCTAATTAACAATTTAACAGCGGCACTTTAAGGCATTATGTAAAGATCAGACTTTCTTATATTTAGTTCAGCATCCTTTATGACTGGTTTATCTTGAATAGAGGTTCATTCCAAGTTTGCTTCTGCAGACTCTGATGAATGAACACAAAGCAGCTAATAGTTCAGGCCAGCAATTGCTCAATACTGGCATTAAGAAAAGAATCCTAATTAAAGTGTGCATGAAAAGGCTGAATGAGATGATAAACGTGAAAGCATTTGTTCGGATTGACTTTGACTCTGAGATCACCAGCAGGCCAGGAGGCGATTTGTCCTCTGCAGTGCAGGCCGATGTGTCACGCAACTTCAGTAATTAAATGAACACAGAGGTAGTTTATGGAGCTTGAATGTCACGCAGATGAAAGACCTCCCCTTCAGCAATGGCATGACTGCACTGTATGAGTGTTGATAAGTGGGCACATGTGGAACAAGGTCGCAGGTTTCTAACAAAGGAGATATAAAATGTTTCACCAATCACCTCTTGACTTGACAGCAGTAGGTGGAGACCATTAAAATGTCTGTCAGGCATGCTCACAGCAACACCTGCGAAAAAGTGTCAGTCATCTTTGATGGTCGCCTCTTCTCTTTATCTGGTCTTTTTGTTTTCCAGATATAGTAAAAGCAAATAAAACGCATGCTGTCAATCTAAAGAGAGTTGGCAGATGTGCCTGTTGTGAATTATTAAATCATAGTAAGTGTGACAGGCATGGTGTATTGGATTGAGCATATTTGTAGCTCATTCTGTTGGCATATTTTTGCAGCGGTTTTATAGCTCCTGGTAATTGCAAGGCGTCGGTGCATCATGTCATTTTTATTGAAGATATTTTACAGTAAAGATTATAAATACAAACCGATGCAATATGGTTTGCATCTGGTGATGAGTAAGCTGGACAAAATGGCAGAAGGAGCAATAAGTGAAAAATGTTTGTTCCATTGATTCATTTAGGTGACGGATCACTAGTCTGACGGATGATGCACGCTTGTATTGATCACGATACAGGCACTTTCAGATGCAGATAAATCAAGGTGCAAACAAAGGATTCATATGGTTTAGTAAAGACAATAAATCAGTGGTCACATGGTTTCAGTAGCCATGAAAAGCTGTGGCAGGGTATTAAAGGCTAAACAATATACTGTAGGATAAAGATTGTGAATGAGTATATTCTATTTCACCCTATTGCTTGAATATTGTAAGGCATGCCGATGTTGTGCAAGTGTTCCCGTATCTAGCTGGGGCCGGATTTTTGTCGAGCTCATTTTGTGGGTTTACGTGAATCTGTGCAGCCGGCGCTCCTGTCCCTAGCCACGCCCACTTCTCAGCACCTTCCCCCATGTCACGACTCCTGGGGGCCCTGGAGCACAGCCGAGTGGATAGCGGCATCACGTTTTCCGCACCACTGGCAGTGAGTGCATGCACCGTACCCTGTGGACGCCATGTCAGACCGCTCTTATGCTCAACTGCTTTGTCGAAATCAGTAGAGAGCGAATGGCATCGGCCTCAAACGTGTTCCCCATCTATCTTGCCCATGTGCTGCCTCGGCCGCCACTGTAGAGATTGCTATGCAGTCGCATTCATGCTGGCTCAGGGGCTTCCTTTTCAATCTCTCGCACACTTTGTTATAGGAAGGAGCATTCACAAGGCATTTTTGAGGCTGGCTTGTCTGCTCTCTTCACACAGTGTGAAATTTAAATCAGATTTTAGTGCGAATTAAACCACTTCTCCCCTCAGGGCTCTATTTAAGTCTCGGAGACCTAAGGTCATAGCTCCAAGAATAAAGCTGTCAGTTAGCAACCGCCTGTTTGCTAGATTCCCGTGATGGAGGTTGCTTCCTCCACTGCTTCACAATACATGTCTGCTCCTGATGGCATCTCGTTTAATTAGCTCCTAGCACACTAGCTGGTCCACTCAGATAAGCTTCACTATTATATTACTGGGAGCGTGTGTCTAATCTACTATCTCTTCAATCTGCATCCACTGTTGCATTTACTCCAATTACTGCGGTGTTTACTTTCAACCTCCAACCTATATCATTTTGTTACCACTCATCTCGTCTAAGAATGCTCTCATTGTTCATTAGGTGAGGATCAAATAACCATTAATAACAGATGTTATACGGGAATGTATTCAGGCGTTTTATCCTGCAACATTCATTATTTTCTAAGTTGAAGAATGTAGATTTAAACGTTTTTTGAATCACAATAAATTAAGCAGTGAAGACGAACACAAGCGTGCAAGTTCAGTCTCAGACAGCCCGGCCTTCAACATGTAATAACACAGATAAAGTTGCATAATGAATATTTCATGGGCAGATGAACACACCCACGTGAGAGCCCCCTTTTCTGGAGCCATAGGCTATTGCAAAGTCCTGACCAGTGAGTATTCAGCTTCACCCTTTTTTCTTCTGACAGAATAAACTAGATTGGCACTGCAGGGCATCAGGCGGACAAAGAAGAGGGGGAAAAAAATGCACTACCTTTTTCTTAAGAATGCTGCTGTAAACACAGCAGATTTCAATGCCTTGCTCTCTCACGCTGCTGTGGCTCTCTGAATATTCCTCCTCATAGCTTCTCTTCATATCCCTCCCACCACATTCCCTCCCTCTCTCTCTCTCTCTCTCTCTCTCTCTCTCTCCTCCCATCTCTTGCCTGCGTGCACCGTGCAGCTTTACGCTGAGCACTAGGCATACAGATGTAAGTTTCAGCAGGGCAACGGCCAGCGCTGGCAAGTGAATATGAGGTTGCCCTTTTGCTAACATGCAGTAGTATTCAGTAGAGTATCCAGCAGTCAAGGCGGACTCAGAAGGCGAGATGAAAACCTCCTGGAACTGTGTGTTCGTGTTTTATTCTCTCCATCCCTTTGTGTGGATCTATGCGTTTCTACTCTTAAAGCTTGGCAGCGAGAGGTGTTATCTCGAGCACTGAGCTCAGCTTTAAAAGGAAATTGCAAGACTCTAAATCTGCCTGTAAGCCTCTGATGAGCCTCTGATTAACAGATAAAGCGAGAGGAGGACACCCGGAGGAATCGAGGAAAAACTTGCAGAGGGAAATTTACACAAGTTCTGATTTTGATTTTTGGGACTGTTTTTAAAAAAGATTTAAATCTTTGTCCTTGACCTGCGTTTTATGTATCTGAAGTCTGCAGTGATTGCATATTTGATTCTCACACCAGCTGAGACGGAGATGCTGTATCGTTGTGCTTGGATTTGGACTTCCTTTGAGAGGATTTTGTTTTCACCTGATCAGCGGTCCTTCACTGTTTGAATCCACTCTGATCTGCCCCCCCACCCTCCTGCCCTCTTTTCTTCTACTGAACATTGTGAGCTTAGTCACTTAAGCGACTGGGCAGTGATTTCTAACGGAGGCACGGCGCGTGACGCTTGATTCGGAGTAGTTGGCACTGATCTTTCTCACGCTCTTCAGGGTCCTCAAACGTTACAGCTCTGGGAGTTTGTCCTACCTGACTTAACAAGCAGAGAGTTTAATTAGACTTTCTTCTATTGGGACGGCCGGCCACAAGCCAGGATGCAGGTGTCACTAGTGTGCACGGACCACCGTGGGGGGGTGAGCCGCACCACGGAAGACCGGCTAAACCGTCAGAACGCCAACAGCCCCAACACAGGCACCCGCAGCAAGTTCAGAGCGGTGGCGATGGTGGCTCGCAGTCTTGGACAACTCTCTGTTCAGAGTGTGCCTTCCTCCAGCGAGCAAAGCATAAGGACTGGCATGAAGTATAGGTAGGGCATGTCTGAACTCTTGACAGGTTGCTGTCAATTTAGCCATAAAACCTTGAGACTTATCTAAAATGCTCCGCCTGCTAAAGTAGATTTTAAATCATCAAATTCTTCTTTGCTCAGGCTACAATTCATCACAGGGAGGACTGCCCATTTCTCCAATTTGCTATTGTAAACCAGTTGTTCTTCCTTTCGCCTTCCTGTCAGAACTGCCAAACCCCACCTGTTAAATATTGATGACCGTTATTATGACAGTAACTAATAAATGAACCTGCCCGCTTGCTCCTCAAAAACAATGTCGGATGGAAAAGATTTGCTATTTATATTTTTTTATCTGATCTTTGTTCTTAAGCGATACAACTCGTTGGCATGTATGCAATTTAGCTTTTGGCCATTGATGTCTAATCTGCTCTCGCAAGCAGTGACAAACAAGCAGTGTAAACAAAGTACAGGAAGCTGCATTCGTTACGCTTTAAAGGGGAAACTGATTAGTATTTTCCCAGATTAGTCTCTTAAGTGCAAGGCTACTATTATCATAAAAGCCTTACACTGATAATCCCTTTGTTTTGAAATTATTATAGTGTGGGTTAATATGGATTATCATCACTGCAGATCCTTTTGTTGAATTTATAGCAGAAGTATTAATCACTAATCATGAATCACTTATTTTTTCAATTATTGGCTCAAAAGCTACATTGAGTCAGTTGTTACTATTGAAGTAACCCTTGCTGTCATATTAAAGAGTGTCCCTGACTTGCTGTGAAAACAAACACTTTGCCTCATGATAGCTTTTGCTCACAAGGTGTGTGTTGAAATGATGCTGCAGTGAATATTTATCGCACCCCTTTAATCACTTGATTACTAATTACTGCTCTGTTGTAGTATTTACACTTCTGTAGCATTCACTCTGACAAAAGGTTTGATATTTGATTGAATGAAAATGATTGAGCCTCTTTGTGTGTAGAAACCCAAAGGGACATAGAGACTAATGGCTGTTTCTACCATACCCCATATATTTAATATTTAGGCAAAGTTATACACACAGAAAAACATTTATGACAAAATGCAAATGTCTTTTGTTTGTGTGGTGAATTACTTCAATTTGTGCACAATGACTGAAAAAACTGTCACAAACAATGGACCCCATGTAACAAATCCCACTTTAACCCCTGAATATACTTATTTCCAGTATGTTTCCATTCATACTCGGAAGCTTATGAGCTGTTTCTTGTTTTTAACCATTTTATTGCATAAATGTTCTACAGGAGCATTTTTGCTGTATATTTGTACTCTTTATAGGATTGTCATTCAAGTGGTAGATGACTTGATTTCTGATAGAACTATTAATATTGAAATCAAATGATTATCTTTTGAAATTGTGTTTTTCAAGTCCCAAAACCCCCAAAAATAAAAAACTGAAAGGTGATGTTGTGCCTTTAAAGCAGAATCAGCTTTGTGTGGGGGGGGGGGTGAAAAACGAGTGCTCCGTTGACTGCGAAATTAAGATTGGGCATTGATTTGAGGAGACGCATTAGCCGTCCTCAGTAGTGTTGTCAGATGTGACATAACAGTCCTTTGCATCTGATTCGCTAGCGGCAGCCTCGCCATGTTGGCTCACTGTCATCATTGAGGCTAATGATATTGAATGAGTTAAATCATTCTCAGCATGCGGTGCCAGCGGCTGTTTGTGTTCTTCACTTCCGCGGTGAAGTCCGAAGTACATAACGGGCTCTGTGTTTGTGAAGCAGGCTTGCATCTGATGTAAACTGAAGGTAATGTAGGCCTAAATGCAGCATAAGTTTCAGAGATGCATGCACCGAGGCGACCGCATTGTGTTTCGTGGTTTTCAAGAGATGCGAATAAAAGGGAAGGAAGGAGAGAGTGAAAGAAGGAAAGAAAGGGAGAGTGCTAAGGTTAATGCTGGTGTAGGCACTATGCCCAAGAGGAAGTACAGTAGGCTGGAGTGATATGCGCTCATGTCACTGTGTATCTTTCAAGCATGCCTCTCGGAGTTGCGGGATATCTAACAAGGCTAACATTTATCTTTTCATCCTTGAGCACAAGGAGTTTTTTTTTTGGAGTTTTTCATTTTGACAGTTGAGGAGGTTCGCGGTTTCATAACTGTTCCCCAGAAGAATACAGTTAAAGCTTATCCACCTGGCGAAACTTTCCACGATTATCCACACTGCAGAATAGCGGTGGGAAATTCAGATCAAGCCTCATTTGCATACAGTCCCCCTCCGTTTCCCTTCAATGGCAGCCTTTGAGCTTGAATCAAGTCTGTCGGTCTTCATCCACAGACAAGGAGTCAGGTTAGGTTGGAAGTGACCTCCCCCCACAAAGTGGAGGAAACCATCAAAGTGAAGATCTTTCCATTGTAGGCTGCCTCACCACAGACGGGGCATTTCTGTAACGTGACACAGGGCCTGCATCATGTGACTGTTTCAAATCATCAAGCTTGACTGGGAAGCCCATACCTCCTCCAAGGAATGATTAAAGGGCTTCAGTCGGGACAGAATTAATGGTGCACACAAAATGGCTTATGATTATGTAAAGTAGGTTTGCTCAGGGAATGGAAGAGTATCTGTGAGATTGGGAAGGCAGTGCAGGTGGGGAGTCAGTCAATCACATAAAGCCCCTGCTTTTCACATTCCGGTTATCAGCTCTTCTCCCCAAAAAACCAAACCCAGGAAGGGTCTAGAGGGAATGAGTAAACTTATAAAGAGACACTTTTATTTGCCTAGGCGCTGCAAATAATCAGCTGAAAAGTAAGTGAATACCTTTGATGACATCACCTTTTTTGTTTTACTGCTATTTTTGTGCTTTTTTTAAACTGCTCTGGATAACATTTGTGCTTTAGCAGGATTGCTTTTTTTTTTTTTTTTGGTCAATGCATGGTATTGTTCTTTGTCACATTTTGTATCAGCTCCACAGTTCTGCTGTATTGCACTCCGTATCGTTGACTGCTGTGGCCATGTTAAATCAGAGCTGACTCACCTCCTCTCCTGGTGTAAATCCACAAGTAACTCGCCTCAGCCCAGACTGTCAGTAGGATTCCTCACATCTCTTAAGGTCCACTTGTGGTTGTAAAGTTGACGGTGAATCACAGCAATAGTAAATAGTTACTGGCGGTGTTGTGTAAGCGGATGACATTTAAATCCCACCACTGTGTTGTGTGAAGCTGTGATGTATCATTATAAATCACAGAGATGAGACCTTAAAGAAGCCCGTCCCACCAGTTCTGTTTCATCTCGTGCACCTTGAAGTATCTTCATGTAACAGAAATGGAAGCAGACTGTCAAAGATTTACCAATGAAACGTCTGCTCATCAATGATTAGTATACATGTCTGATATTTCCTGATTGTATTATTAGCTGTTATTGCAGAAAGGAAATCAAGTTGGTGGTACTGAAATATAGGAACGTCTTTGTCCTTGTCGGGGAATTTTTTCAGTATTTTGTGACACAAATGCAAAAGCATGCATCGCTCAGGCTGTGACAAAAGCTGTGGGTGTGAGATTTTGGGCGTCATGAGTGTGGGTGCATGCTGGGACGTTTTCCTGCATTCTGAGGGCTCTTCATCAGGGAACCAATTTTCTACAGCCTGCACTCCCCCTTGAAAAATGAATCATACATACAGTACGTTAGTTGAACAGAACCCACCTACAGGAGCCGCTCTGATGGTGATACTAAGACTCATCCACAGCACAGAATTCAGGCCCACAGTAGCCACTTAGGTACTATCCTAAATGTGCACAGAATGTACACCATCTGTTTGCTCTGTGCGTGTGGAGAGAAACGGTGCCAAACGGTGGGATGGTTCATTTATTGATGCAGGCTTGTGTTTCACTGTATATGCATTGTCTGTGTTGGTGCGTAAGAAAGCGAGTGAGATGGGAGGGGTTGTTGTGGAATATTTAGCTTCCGTGTCTATAAGCATGTGACGGACACACTTGCGTTATGTTGAAGGAGAAAATGAAGACAGCTGTTCCTTCTTTGCCTCACTGATTAGACTTTAATTAGTGTGTGTGTGTGTGTGTGTGTGTGTGTGTGTGTGTGTGTGTGTGTTAGCACCACTCATTTCTCTCTGCATGGTATTTTCTTAAATGCTCTAGAAATAGCCTAGATGTATTATTTCTGTTGTGGAATACCGAGACGAGTCTGAATCGTAGTCAGCCAGTTTAAACTGTTGTAATAATATATGTGGGCAGGATTTCTATTTAACTTAATAATGATTTAGTCCAAAGTTCAGTACATATGCCCACAGTTATATGTTTTAATGATCTGTCACAGATTATTATATTTGCTGTATAAAGCTGCCAGACTTTTATTGTGCCTAAAGTAAAAGGATGGGTTTAGATTTACACATGAGCACCAAATCAACAGACGGGTTTTGACAGCAACATTTGTGTTTAGCTTTTCTTTCTGCATGAGAAGCGCTTGAGCTGCATGTTATGTAATGTGTGATTGAGGAAATAATGTAGCACAAGTAGATGTGAGGCTGTAATGTACCAAGGGACCAGAGCTTTAGCTTGCTTCAGAAAGTAAGAGAACAGGCCAGCAGGGGAACATCCCTTTTACCCTTATCATTTGTGTTATGAATATTTAACCTCAACATTTCTTTTATTAGGCAGCCGGCACCAGGCAGTTTGCTCTAAATCAATACAGTGGCCAACGCTATCTCCTGTTCATCAGCAAGGTGGTCTCTTAAAAGCTAATTGGAGCTAGTTAGTACAGTTTGAACCGTTTTATGGAAATACCTCTATCTTAATTATGGTTAGGGTTGCAACAAACAATTATCTTAATTGATCCGTTGATTATTGTCTTATTTAATTGATTGTTTGGACAATATTCAATGTCCATCACAATTGCCCAAAGGTGACATATTGAAGTGTCTTGTTTTGTCTGACTAACTGTCCAAAATCCATATTAACAATAGTAGAAGACTAAGTAATCCACAAACTACTGACATTAAAGAGGCTGATACCAGAGAATGTAGCCATT